CAAGAGACACGGATAGTCCGTCAGGGCTTGCAACCCGCACGGACGAAATTAAATCTGCAACAACTCAGCCAAAACAAAGAGTCCCAAAAGGTGTAGACGGGAAAAGGCGTTCTCCAGGCACTAGGACGACTGGATCCCCGAAGGGACTTGCAGAACAAAACCGCCGCAACCAACGGAGTGCCTCAAACCGGTTACACATTCTAACATTCAACTGCAAATATGGACTAAAGGATGCCCCAACTAAAGATCTATTTATGAACCAACTGTCAAAGTTCAAATACGACGTCATTGGTCTCTGCGAAACACGTGCCAAGGTTGAAAGTCGAACGAAATGGATTCAAACTGGTGATGAACTTGTCATTGGAGAAGGAAATGGTCAACAACGTGTTGGAGGTGTTGGATTCATCATCAACAGCCGCATTGCCAGTCATGTGATCGAGGTTAAAGTCCATTCACATCGAATTGCAACACTCAAGCTCGACATAGGAAGAAAAATACCACTCCTGATCATCCAAATATATGCTCCTCACAAAGAATATGGCATAGATGAAATTGAAAAATTTTACTCGGAAGTCGAGACACATCTGGACCAACCTGCATATCAGAAAATCGTTATCGGCGACTTCAACGCCCAATTGGGACCGAAAAACACCAATCAACGATACCTGGGCAAGTTCACGAGTGGCACGTGGGACAAAAATGAAAACGGAGAACTATTAGCGGACTTTGCCGAAGCAAACAAACTCTTCGTAATTAACACGCTCTTTCAGAAACCTCCGAACAAGCGATGGACATTCGAATCAACAAATGCCAACAAGTCAAAACACGAAATTGACTTTGGATTATGTACTGATCGACTCATGGTGACAAATGTTGAATTTCTCAGTCGACTAGACATTGGCAGTGACCATCGACCGGTAAGGTTCACTTTAAACACTACGATCAGAAAGAAAAGACCACCGATTATGAAATCTGTTCGAGCCACAAATGAAAGTCTTCTGCAACAAAACATCGTCGAGAAGGACTGGACGATCGACGGCTCGCTGTCCACGAAGTTTGATAAGATCCAAAGACAACTGAAAACGTGTATCAACGCTGCGTCCATGAAGAAACCACGACAGTCCCGCTTCACCAAAGAGACGAACCAACTTCTTTTGAAGAGGAAATCTATGAATCGACAGACCAACCCTGTCGAATTCGCCGAACTCAGTAAACTGATCCGAAAGAAGATTCGCGAAGACCACGAGAAGTTCCGAACTGAACGACTACTGAAAACCATCGAAGAACGTCGAAGTCTCAAAAAATGTCAACGTGAACTACGTCAACAGACCGCCATGATGAGTGTACTGAAAGCCGAAGATGGAACACGTCTCACCAAACGTTTCGATATGGAACGCCGAGTACAAGAATATTACACATCACTGTTCGCCTCGAAATCAGTAGTACCACTCGTTGAAGACAATCGCGAAGAAGAAGAAATACCGCAAATCCTTATATCCGAAGTTCGAACAGCTGTACAAAACCTTAAAGCTGACAAAGCGCCTGGTCCCGATGGTATCACGAACGAAGCACTCAGAGCTGGTGGATACGAACTGTGGAAGATAATCACCAAACTATTCAACGAATGTTTAGAGATTGAAGACATACCGACACAGTGGAAGCAGTCGTCGACTATTATCATTCCGAAGAAGGGTGACCGTGAAGATCTAAAGAACTACCGACCCATCGCGCTTCTCCGAACGATTTACAAACTCTTCACTAAAGTGTTGGTCAACCGAATGACTAGACAGTTAGACGAACAACAACCACGTGAGCAAGCAGGCTTTCGTAGTGGCTTCTCAACGATTGATCATCTTCAAGTGATTAATCAAGTCCTGGAACGTACTAGGGAATGCAAGATCCCACTGTGTATGGTCTTCGTTGACTACGAGAAGGCCTTCGACTCTATTGAGATAAACGCCGTCATCAACGCATTAGTCCGACAAAATATACCAAAAAAATATATCCGAACGCTCCTGAACATCAACACTGACTGCTCAACGTCAATCAGACTGTTCAACAACAACATCACAGTCCCAATCAACAGAGGTGTGCGTCAAGGCGATACTATCTCTCCGAAGTTATTCACCGCAGCCCTCGAAGACGTTTTCCGAACGCTTAACTGGGAAAATCGAGGTATCATGGTTGATGGAGAACCTCTCACTCATCTTCGCTTTGCCGATGATATCGTTCTCTTCGCCTATGATGCGAAAACCGCAGCAGAAATGCTGAAAGAACTCAACGAAGCAAGCGCTCGAGTTGGTCTCAGAATAAATAGGGCCAAGACCCAAGCGATGAAAAATGAACAATGTGCCAGTGAAACCATCAAGCTAGACGACGATACCATCCTATTCGTAAACAAATATACCTATCTTGGTCAAACGATCACACACGACCACAAAGTTGATGATGAGATTCGACGACGACGAAGTGCAGCATGGTTTCGTTACAAAAACATAGAAGAAATACTGAAAAAAACGAAAAACACCACACTACGAGCGCACCTATTCAACTCTACTATTCTACCGGTACTCAACTATGGCTGCGAAGTGTGGACTATGCGAGAAAGCGATAAACAAAAACTCCAAACAACCCAAAGAGCTATAGAACGGCGAGTGCACGGCATCAAACTAGTTCAGAAAATTCCGAGCAATATCATTCGCCAACGAACCAAGTTCAAAGACGCTTACATTGATGCTCTTCAACGAAAGTTCCGCTGGGCTGGCCATGTGGCAAGACGTGAAGACAACAGATGGACAAACCGCACGACCTTTTGGTGGCCATACAATTTTCGGAGACCGAGAGGACGA